AATGATATGACATTTTTTCATTAACTTCCCCTCCCCTCTCTCTTCTTCTATTTTTCTCAAATTAAACATATTATAAATACAAACTAACCTTTGAGATTAAGGTATTGATATAGGGATAATTTTTTTATATTATTTTTTATATAAATTTTATATATTATTAAATGAGTAAATACATGTAATATTATAAATTTCAAATAAATAAAAAAATTAACAATTTAAATAATACGTAAAATTATATAAAAAATTATCTTTAAATCATTTTTTTTAGATTAAATTATTTCTTTATCCCATAATTCATATTTTTATAGTGTAGTACAATCTTAAAAGTTAAAACCATAAAACAAAGGGGTCATTGCATAAGGTAATCTCGTTTTTACAATTCTGCCCTCAGGATTCTCAACCATTTTGTTCAGGGGTATTTTCGGAAAAGAAAATCTGCACGTATCGCCGGACTTATGTGTTGGGTCGGTCAGGAAGGGTATTTATCAAAGACTCGGGGACAAGAAATTCGTAGCAAAGAGATCCTTTCCGATGTGCGGATAGAAGAGAAAGCTCCACGAAACGTCAGTTGATACTGAAAGTAATTGGATTTATTTGGATTGATTGATTTCTTTGCTTACAAGAATTGAACTCTTTGAATCTGATACGTACGGATGATCTTTGACAGCTTTGAAAAGGGTAGGGTCTTGAACGTGGCAATTTGATAAAGATGGCAAATTTGTGATTGCATAATCATTTTCCGAATGAGTCTTGATCTGGGTTTGCAGTGATTCAACTGAAGCACAAGAAAATTAGAAGGGCTGTATGGACCATACCCCCGTCTGGGTGTTTTGGTTGATTCATGTGTAATTTGAATACGAATAGGGAATGAGATAACAATTGCATAACAAAATTCCACACCTGGAACCTATTCTATCATGGGATTGGTATACATTGGGAGTTTAAAGAAAATGGCTTTATCTGAGATTCTTATGTCTATATACGTTTGTTCTTCCTGACTTTAGTTGTAGAGATTGTTCTTGTATGTTTTATATTTTCTGATGTCCTTGGATTGATATAATTTGATAAGATATAAGAATGGCTTATGGTTTTGTTTTTCTGCAGCTTTGAATATCTTTTAGAATCTAGAAGTTTTGAGCGTTCAGCGAACGTCTAAGTTGGAGATGGAATTGCAAGAAAAATTAGATAGGTTCAGGAAGCAGCAGGAGAAGTGTCAGTCAACACTTACCAGCATTGCAGCGAAATCAGGGTCTCTTAGGGTCACTGTGAATCCAAAATCTGAGCCTATGACTACATCCCCTTTACCAAGTGCAAGATCTCCAGCCCCTGCTGTCAAATTTTCAAATGATACTGACAGATTTCAACACATTAACACCATCCGCAAAGGTCCTGTAGGAAGACAGATGAAGCGTGTTCTTGACCTGCTGCTACAGGTTCAAAACCTGACCTACCTTTAATCTTAGATGCTGATGATGTAATTGGGAATTCTCCTACTGATGATGTAATTAAATTGTCATTGTAAATCCAATGTCTGCATGCTGAGATGGAAGAGTACATGACTGTTGTTTAGCAAATTGCTCTTTAGGAGGAAAAATGAAGAAAGTTGATACTGTAATAATTCCCGTGATTTTGTTATGGCATAAAGGAGAATCAGGAGGGGAGAAGTTGAAATAACTGGTGCATGCAAGTGCAACTCTGCTTCTATCAGAATTTTTATTATGGGACTTTATATTGAAAGCTCTATAACATAAAACAGAATTCTTTTTCTTTTCTTTACCTGTGCAGTTCAATACAATTAGCAAACTCATGACTTCTGTATGCATGTATAATGCAGACGAGGCAAGCCTTAACGGCTGAGCAAATAAATGAAGCGTGCTTTGTTGATGTGAATGGGAACAAAGATGTGTTTCAGAGCTTGAGAAATAACCCAAAAGTTCACTATGATGGGAAGTGCTTCTCTTACAAGGTAACTTTTACTAGGTTGCGGCTGAAAACCTTCAAAAAACTTTTCTTATGATTCAGCATCTATCTACGATTCTACACCATAATAACCTTTACTTTCCCTGTAATAAAGAGATACATATTTGTTTATATATTATTCTTACAGGCCATGTATGATGTGAAAAGCAAGAGTGAACTCCTTGCCCTGATACGTAAGTTTACAGAAGGCATTGATGTTAGTGATCTCAAGGATTCATACCCAAATGTGATGGAAAACTTGCAGGTAATTCTGACATTAAGATGTTCTTTCTCCTTGCTTGGAATTCTATTTACATAAATTTCCAATAACAGCAGCTGAATTTGTTCAGGAAATGTTGAAGAAGTTGCTTCATTTTTGCTTGAATTTTGTAGAACTATAACACCTAGATTTTCTTCAATTATTTCTTTATTTGTTATTCTTTAAATTTGAAAAACCAATGGAAAGCTCATGTAGGACTGATAAGAAATCAATCTCTGAGACTTTCTTCTTAACTTCTTTAGAAAAATTAACGCTGGCAGCCTGCAGCCTGGCAAGGCCAATGGGGTGGGATAGAGAACTCTTATGTAAATAATAATGAGTTGAAAAGCCTTTTGAGTTCGAAAATTTCTGGTTGGATAGATGTTGTTGAGCACCGTTGGTATCATTCCTCTTGTACACTTGCTAACTATTGGTTTAATTTCCTTGCAAAAGAAGGATTTTCCTTCTTTTTTTTTTTTTGGTTAAGTTCTTCCATGAGCTGTTCTCTCTAACTTCTTTTAACATTAAGTGATTTGTGTCTGAAGTTTGCCAACTAATTTATACATTCTACCTATGACATGTCGAAGAATTAATCCAAACTTCTGGAGTTACTTACAAAATCTTATTCCGTCATAGGCGTTGAAAGCCGGAGGTCAGATTTGGCTGCTTTCAAATTTAGATTCACAGGACATAGCCTACCCGAATGATCCTAAATTTTCTATCAAGGTGGAAAATGATATTAAGGAGCTGTTTTTCAAAGTTCACCTGCCCCAAGATATGCATGAAATTGAGAAAGATCTTCAGAAGAATGGAATAAATCCTGCTACCAACACTGCACAGAGGAGAGCTGCTGCAGTGGTCCAGGGCATTGCCATCACCAAGACCAAACCTAAGAAGAAAAGCAAGGACCTCAGATATATTAAAAACCTCACAAATAAACATCTGGTCAACGAATTGGGCTTTTTAAAATGATTCCTTGAAGCGTAGAGGCAAGCTGTTATCAGACTTTCCAAATGCAGATTATCATAGTTGAGCTATAACAGCTGCTCTGAGCTCTCAAGCAAGTTTCTGTCCTCAGTTCTTTGGAGGAGCTTTCGTCTATTTAGTTGACAAGACACCTTTTTTTTTTTCCATTTGAGATTAATTTATGCACATATGTAAGTCTTTTGGGTTACAAATTCCTTACTGAAATTTTTTGTTTTTGACTGACAATTCGGATCTGTTTGACCTCATCTGTGCTCATTGCTTTCAAACCTGAAGTTTTCCATGCAACAAAAAGGACAAAAACTTCTGTTTTTTTACTCTTTTTTTTTTTTTTTAATCATGGAAGCTCCATCAATATATCCTTCCAATAAGTATACTTTTGACTTCCCAGGAAAAAAACAAAAATTTCACGTTCAGACTTCAGATCATCACACACAAAATTGCAAGCAAAACATTATTTAAGAGCTTTGAGCTGCACATGGAACCAAAAACTTGACCCACATCTTTCATAGTGCAAATACTAGAATAATCAAAACCCAAAATCAGTAAAAGGAGAACGCTGATAGATAAAATATATATCATAAATGGGAACTTTCAGTCGGTGTCTATGACCAATTTAATGGAACACGTTTTTGTATTCAAATTCAACCCTTCTGTTTTCAAAGGCATTATTGGTTGCTTCATCTTCAGTCAAATGCAAAGTCTATGATGAAATCATCATTTGCATTATATTCAAAGTTTCAAACTGTATGTATGTATTTCACATTTGTTAAGATAAGGAAACAACAAAAGAGCTTGCAATATCAATAAACCACCTAGAATCTACTAATCTGTGTAACTAAACAGAGATGGAAACAAAAAAGGGAACTTGCAATATCAATAGACTGCCTAGAATCTAGTCTGTGTAGCCAAGTACATATAAAACATCTGAGAAAAGGAATATAACTCAGTTATGAAGGGGGTTTGGTCCCCCGGGAACAGCTCTAAAGGAGGCTCCATAGATAGACTGATTCTTATCTGTGACTGAACCTTGAGCAGCTTCTGCATAGAATTCAGTTCTGAATGTTTTCTCTGCTTCGTTGCTTAAGCTTCTGTGGATGTAGCGACAGCTCGAGAACTGGATGCTGGAAAGCATGATTAAGAAGAAGAAGAGCAGAAAAGAAATGGCGGGATTCAAAATCCTCATGACTGTAATACTGATGTGGAAGAGGAGAAGGAAGGATGATTGTAATACAAGAGTTTGAGAAGTTGAAATGAAGACAAGTTTTGAGTGTATTAATATAGGATCAAAGTAACCTGTGGTGCAGAAAGATCCAAGAAGTCAATTAATTCTATTGAAATGGCAGAAACACCCTTTAAGCCCGGCTAAAACTGCCATCACTGTGAGGAAGGCCCCGCCGAGTTATTAGTATAAACGTGCTTCCTCAGTCACATGGTTAGAATTCGAATCCTCATTCTTCTTTCTACCCCGCTTTTTCATAAGAGTTTCAATCAGTTGTCTTATTTTATAAAACCCGTGGTGCATAAAGATCCAAGAAGTCAATTAATTCTATTGAAATGGCAGAAACACCCTATAAGCCCGGCTAAAACTGCCATCACTGTGAGGAAGGCCCCGCCGAGTTATTAGTATAAACGTGCTTCCTTAGTCACATGGTTATAATTCGAATCCTCATTTTTTTTTCTACACCGCTTTTTCATAAAAGTTTCAATCAGTTGCCTTATTTTATAAAAAAAATTGCCTTCACTGCATTAATTACCCCTATCTAAAATTCCAGCACAAATTTTCATATGCATTTATAAATGCATCCAGCGTGATATATATATATATATATATTTGATATAAACTTAATGCAAGAGTTGAGAATTTTTTGCAAGGGAACAGAAATTACAGTGGAGATCACAGGCTAATTTGGTCCTTTTATGATTGATGGAGTGTTAACTTAAAATACCCTCCGCTAGAGTTGACTCTGGATTATATGGAACAGTCTTAATCCCCCATTTGAGATTGTAATATTTTATCTCTTTTCTTAAGCTAACATGGGGCACATGGAGAACAAGATAATCATTTCTTTACAGATGGGATTTTTCATCTCATGACATTGTGTCAAATGGCTTGGAGGGTTCAGAAGTACTGTTTTCTTTGTCCAGGAAAAGGGTTTGTCTGTGCAGAAACATTCCTATTGTGGGCTCCATTGCTAAAGCTTTTTGATATTGTTTCAATGATAGGTAACAGGTTGATCAGGCAGAAAAGATGGGTGATGAGAATTGGAAAGAAACAAAAGTTTTGGTTCTGATTAGTAGGTTAGGAAATCATAGCTGCTGCAGGAGATCAGAGAAACTTTTATGAGGAATATTGCGGTTCTCTTGTTACATTACAAACATTATTTTGGGAGAAAATATCCTGTGATAGCAAAAAGTCTTACTGCCACGTCAGCTAAATGATGAAGAGAAGGAAATTTTGCTAATTGGTTGCGATTATTTGATAAAGTGTGCATATGGACATTGAGGTAAGTAGGCAAATGATGTGTTATTTTGAAGATTTCTACTTCTCTCTATTGCAGGGGCCTTGAAATGACTAGGATCCATGAGAAACAGTATTTTTCTTTTCTTCTTTTTTCCAGGATTAATTTCCTTGCAATATTATGAACCTGCTGAATTTTGCTTCAGCACTGTTGCTGATACGAAATTTTGCATTTCAAAATAAAAAAAAAATTCAATATTGTTAATGTCATGTTGCTCAAGAAGATCAGAGAAGAGAATCTCAATTTAATGGCTAAAAGTTGTTTGAACCAGGATTATATTGAGATTTTGATCGACACAAAGCATTGAGGAATGAAGATTCTAATATGGTTTATCTGATTATGAAGAAAGGTCACATTCTTCTTGCCTTGCCTTTGCTCAATTGATTTCTAGTGTTCTTTTGGGATACCTAGATCCATAGGCTGGACAAGGGTAGTTGCTACATTCTTTTGATGCTTCAATTGTAGGTCTTAATGGGGCCTGAATTTAATTATGCTTTAAATAGATGGTCCAGACGATATCTGATATCATGGAAAGCACCTAGAGATTCTTTAAACACTTTTCCATGGTTAGGTAGTTTCCTGTTTGTGGATTAGGCATTTCATCAGTTAGAAAGAAAGATGATTTTGGAAAGAAATGGTAGATTCTAATGCTTTTACCTTGTTTTTCTGATGAAAAGCATTAGCTAGTTTCTGAATGAGTAAAACAACTATAGACAAATGAACTTTGTCCCCAAGAATTTTATTTTATTTCATTAAAAAAAAAAAAAAACAGCTTCATCTTCTTACAAAGCAACCACTAGGACAGACAGGTTTGAAAACTGGGGTCTAAAGAATTCTTAAATGGGTATGATTGCCATGTTCTTTCCTTGTCTATGTAAAACCCATAAAGTCAGGTCCATCTTTCTTATCAACAACAGGTAGCCTCAAATTTTCAGGACAGTCAAAGCTTTGATCATTTCAAATCTGTGAAGAAATTGTTTCCAATGTCAAGATCCAAGAATTAGAAATTTGCAGGTGGGCGCAGCTTCAAATTATTGGAAACATAATAATTGTAGCAGCTGTAGCAGCTGTGCAGATAAAGATTGTGATGGCAGGGGCCTGCCTATTTATTTACTTCAGATACAAAGGGTCAGTGCTTAAATAGAGGCTCAAAATCTATGGCTAACCATATCTCTTCATTAAAGGTATTTCAGATAGATGGATCCAGTTTGCAGTGTGACCTGTTACCTCCATTCAAAGGGATCCAACCAGGGAACAACCCTAGAGGCAGGGCTTTTGGGATGATGTTTCTAATAATATAAAAAATTACAACTTCCTGGTGTTTTAACCTCATCTGGAACGAACGAGAATCATTTGTTCTTGATATTACATTTTTCCACATTACAGATGAATGACTTGCATATTAGATCTCAGTTTCTACCGCTTCCGAATTCGAATGCCTGGAATGTCTTTCAACCCCATTTTTAGTGCTGTCTTCCTGTACAGAGAAGGTGGTTTTTGTAAACCAATAGATTCAGAAAACCGATTTGCTAGCTCAACAAGCGTTGTCTTGTCCCTGCCAATCTCACCGATTGAGTTATAATAACCAAGCCAAGCATGATAGGCTGCTTCTTTGATACGACCATCAACCTTTGCAAGCGAATCCTCCATCTGCAAGAGTAAAGAGATTCTAATAAGCATCCTTTACAAAAGATGACAAGAGGAAAAAAAAAAAATCATTTACAAACAAAATTTGAGACTTGTTTTCCCACGAGCTCTAAAATGATAACCTTTTTACCAAAGCCACAATGACTAAGACTTTGAATGCTACTTTGCACTGTTACAACGTAATGCAACTAGGAAAAATTAATGAGTTATCTTGTGGTAATCAGGACTAAGGAATTGGGTAATCTATTCCAGAAACCTAAAAATGGAATCAATGGCATAGAATTAAGGCATTTAACTGACAACTAGGCCATGAGATTCAGGCAATTAATGCATTTCACCAAGTTATTACTCAGACCTTTATTTTGATATGTGGATCTAAATGTGGTACAGGAACTTTCTCAAGAGGCAAGTCTTTAATATCATCCAAGAAATATTGTTCCCATGGTGCAATCAACAAGATGCCCTTTCCTTCTTTGCCTTCCCGTCCTGTTCTTCCAAGGCGGTGTATGTATTGTTCCCGATCAGAAGGAATACCAACCTGATAACAGTGAAATCTCAGACATTATATCTTGTGAAAATACTGGCCTTTACATTCTGCAACAGCAGCATCAAATTAATACAGTCCATGTTAACTAAGAACAAATCTATTTTGGAGAAAAATTTATTTAACTGCAGTACAAGCCAATTAACTCTGTCTTTCAATTCGTGTTTAGAATATAATCTCAAAAACTTCAAGGCTACCTGAATGACTAAGGTAACATCGGGATAATTCACTCCTCGTGCTGAAACATCAGAGGTAATGAGAATGAGCCGTTTTGATCCCCTGAATTCATCAGATATGTGAGTCCGATAAAGTTGAGGTTTCCTAGAATGAATCTCCCAAACATTTAATTTCATTTCACGGAGAAGCATATACATCAGAGATGTTACCATCCCAGTTGAACAGAAAACAATGACCTGAGTACAAGTAAACAATTTTCAGGCCTCAAGCACACATGCCCCAAACTAACAAAATAGAGAAGCCTGTATCTTACCTTGTAATCAGGTGCTTGTGAAATGTGCTCCTTCAAGAGATGGTGCACTATCTGAAAGTGCAACTCGTGTGGTGCAACAATACAAGATTGCTTGACCTGAACTTGCAAAGAAAATTTTCTAAGAGTTGTCACTTCCCCATATTTTAAAAACAACAATACAATTCAAAATTAAGTTATTTTTGTCAGAGCACTTCTAAGAAATCGAACAAAAGAAATGATTAAGAATAGAATTTTTTTTTCTAGATTTCAACATCAAATCTAAGTATGTGCCTAACTTTATTTCGCAGAATTACCACTATGGTTGCAACAGGATACCTTATCAGGGGTTTCTATGCAACCCAGACCCACTGTATCAATGTAGGCATGTTCCCTATTCAGAACAAGCTGAGAAATCCGGCGAACCTGCATAATCAAACACGGTTAATCTTATTTGATTTTTACATTAGAAGAATCCTGCTTTTATTAACTGTTACATACAAATAGACAATCAATAAACTAACCTCTTTGGGAATAGTTGCAGAAAAAAGCAATGACTGCCTTTGACGAGGCAAACAATCAACAATTTTCTCAACATCTTTCCGGAATCCCAAGTCTAGTAAGTGGTCAGCTTCATCAAGTATAAGCATTTTCAATCCCATTAAACGCACAGATAAGCCAGTCCTGTTCTCAATGTGATCCAGTAATCTACCAGGTGTTGCAATTATTATCTGCAAGAAGTTTTAATCAGACTATCAAGCTTCTCCCCAAGCATTAACACACTATTACACAAGTATAGAAACATTTTGTTTATGAAGCAAAAAGGATTTAACATGCAGGATACATAAGCAAACCTGGCACGGATCCGATTCAAGGTGTTTCTGATCAACTTTGAAACGTGTACCTCCAACTAGGGTCTGCACGCCTACACCATCATGGAACTTCAGCAGGGCATTTGCTTCTGCAGCTAGCTGACTTGCAAGTTCTCTCGTAGGGCATAGAATGAGAACATATATAGGAGGCACCCGTGAGATGGTATTACTACTGGTAGCCTTCAGAACTGTTTCAATTGCAGGAAGCTGTTTGTGTTTTAACAGCAGAATTGAAAGAAAGAA